ATGATGTGTTGGCAGTGCTTGATGAAGAATGAAGCAGATGAAGAAACACAACAGGCCTGCCCTTACCTAAGCAACTTGTGGAAAGAGGCAGGACAGACAGACTATGCTTCTTGAAAGAATTTGATGTAGCAGCTCAAGAAATTTGAGTTGATTTGTCAGGATTGTCTTTTCCAGCTGGTAAAAGCTTCACCTCATCCTTTCTAATTTCATCAGACCCTTATGTGTCAGCTGTCTTTTTTGTTTTTATTGATGACCTCCAAAACCAGACTTGTATTAAGCAATGCAAAGAAAAGATTGAAGAAACAATCTTGGTGTTGGTAGTTTTTAAAACAGAGCTCTGATAAAAGACTGTATCAGTATTACCAATTATGGAAAGCAGGATTTCTGATAAACACAGAGTAAAATACAACCAACATAAAAGCATTACAGGAAAAATAATAAAATCCACTTCTGATAAGTGAGTAAAAAAACACCAGCAGTTCAAATTCTGACTGTTAGTCATTGCTGGTTTTAGCTGGATCACAAACCTTTACACTGGTCGACTAAGAGGGGCAGAATCAGACCTTGAGCTAAAATTCACTTCACAAGTGACATCAATTTAAGAAGCTACAAATGCAGTCATTTTTTTTTTATCTTTTAATTCCAAGTTATGTATTATAAGAGAAGGAGAAATAAGAGTCTGAAAAAGAAACACTGCACTTCAGCTTACTGTATTTTTTATTTAGTAGTCATTTATGTAATTAGCTGCACCATTTTTTAGCAGTTTCTGTCCACATGGATCAATGAGGCAACAACAAGAAACACAACGTGGAGCATCTCCCAGCTGACGAAAGGCTGAGGGAGCTGGGTCTCTTTAGCTTGGAGAAGAGGAGACTGAGGGGAGACCTCATTAATGTTTATAAATATGTAAAGGGCGAATGTCAGGAGGATGGAGCCAGGCTCTTCTCAGTGATGCCCAATGGTAGGACAAGGGGCAATGGGTGTAGCTGGAACACAAAAGGTTCTGTTTAAATTTCAGAAAGAACTTCTTTACAGTGAGGGTGTTGGAGCACTGGAACAGGCTGCCCAGGGAGGTTGTGGAGTCTCCTTCTCTGGAGACATTCAAAACCCGCCTGGACGTCTTCCTGTGTGATCTCATTTAGGTTCCTGCTCCGGCAGGGGGATTGGACTGGATGATCTTTCGAGGTCCCTTCCAATCCCTAACATTCTGTGATTCTGTGAACCACCACTAAACTGGCAGGATCAACAGCAGGAGTAGCATGAACAATATTTCAAGATATATGTCTATTCAGTGATAAAGGTTGGAAAAAATTTATGATAACTTGGAAAATTCCTAAACCGTTTCTAAGGTTAGAAGTTGAGGTCAGCTGTTTCAGATGCTCCTTCTAGCGCTTTCTGGCCACCCATCTCTATGCATGCCTTTGGAAGCACTTACTACAGAATTCTGCAAACTGGTTATGATGAAGATAAAAAGGCCAGTCTTGCTCAGAAATTCAGCCTCAATCATTTACGTGGACACTTGGGAAAGCTTTTGGTACTTAAATACTGTAAAATTAGCTTTGATTTAGATTCCTGATGTTGACATGATGAAGAGCAGCATGACCTCTGTGGTACATATCTGACAGAACAGCTGCTTAAGCTAAGGAAAGAGGTGCCATACCCAAGACGGCGTGGACTGTATCCTCCTTGTTTCTCCCCTCTCCTGTCCTCCCCCAGCCCCAGCACATAGAATGAGACAAGAATAATATTAAAAGACTTTGAATGAGTAAGGATGCCTCCTGCCAAATTTGGTCATCTGCATGTATCAGAGTGTCCCAGAGGTCAGATGAACTAGAAAAGCCATAGAAAAATCAATTCCATAGACTATAATGAATGCTGGGATAAAGTATCTTGCAGTAATTGCCATCTTTTCTTTTGTGCAAATTTAATTTCTCATAAGACCATTTTTCTTTGTCTCTGAAGCTACAGTAATGATTTATAAAATGCTGCATAAAAATATTAAGCAAAATGACTGTTGCTAAACAAATGACTTCTTTCTAAAAGCCTCTTCCTCAGTCCTCCATGGAGGAAAATATTTCAATCTGGAAGGGTGTTTTCTCATACAGGAAAGGTTCAGTCCCAAATAAAAAAATTCCCTCGGACTATACTTGCAAAAGTCAACATACAAGCTTCACTAAATTTTGTTCCGCCTTAGGAGGCAACTAAGTGCAGCTAGGACATTAATCAGCTGGTTTTGCCAAATTAATGCAAAAGTGTTACTCATCTGTAAAAGAAAAGACAAGTTACAGAAACTGCTGGTGTCTGAAATAAAATAAAAATAAATGTAGCCGTGTCAGACTGGTTATAGGAGAAAATAAAGAAAGGATGTAAATGAGGTACAGAAAATCCTAGAATAATATCCCAAACCAAAGCCTGAAGACAAGCACCTTCAAATGAAGACAATCACTAGAGATATAAAAGAGAGGGCAGAACCTCAAAACGGAGTACTTTCCATGTTTTGAAAAACTAACAGTTTCTATTCACAACAGGCAGAGATTTCAATTTTATCCCCAAGTCTCCTGCTACCCGTGTTACGAACTGCACAAAATCATTTCACCTTGCCTCCATCAGATGGAGAAACTCATAGGTATCTTTGCAATATGAATTTAAACTCCTGATAAGCGAAGTACATAAACAGCAAAGCCCAGGAACTCCACCAAAATGACAACGAGCTCAGCTCTGACCTCCAGGGTCTCCCTACTCTTTGTGGATCATTCTGCATCAAAGGACAAGACAGTTAGCAGCACATTACTTACGATCTACCAAAGTGCCTTGGCATTGATGTCAACATAGTGGAAAGAAGATTATCAGTTGAGAAATTTACTTCCCTGATACCTTTTCAGCTTCATATAACTTCACTAATCACCTGATTTGGGGCTATGGTCAAGTACCTGTTAATTTAATTTCACTTTCAACTCTGGGATAAATCAAAGCAACAAGAAATGTAATCAAATCATGCAGCATCAAACTTTCTTTATACTTCCCACTTTAAGAATCGACAACTATTTAAAAAAAAAATAATTAATTTTTTTTTTTAAATTATTCAAAACTCTCTTTATTAAACTGGAAGTAACCAGCTGTCTAAATACCTGTCTGACTAGAAATGAGAATTTATCTCTAGAGGTTAGACTGCCAGTGCAAAGATGGATAAAGACTCAAAGAAGCCTTCAGCAAGCTGCAGCACAGCCACTCACACCTTCATTGAGAATTTCACATCGGGTCCTCTCTATAGCAGAGGAATGTAGTAGCACTTACCCTGTTTATTCCCATAAGCCAAAAATGAACAGTAACACAATAATGCAGAAGAGAGTGCAGCAGTCCCCAGAGTACGGTGATTCAATACTCCTGCTACCTACTACTGTGGATTTTTTCCTACAAGTACAAGTTGCTACTGAAGGGGTAATAAGCAGAGGTGCCAAAGTCCTACAGGGACTCAGTACTACGGTCCTCACCACATACAACTGTGTCTTAGGACTGTCTTTTTCCACCAAGGAAGTTCAGTTACTCTATTCAAATACTCTTCCATTTCATACTGTGTATTCAGCTTGCAGCTCTTTCAGACTTTTTTCACAGCATGGACTCCATCTCAACAGATTCTCATGGACAACTACTTCTTTTTGCCCAGTCTTACAAAATCATTTTTCCTCCTACTGTGATGATATAAAATTCGAGTTACTGATATGAAAAGGAAACCAATGCTGAGAAAGAATCATGCAATTTCTTTCCAATAGGTTGAAATTTCTCCCAATACCGGGAGGATGATCCTACTTTTGAAAATAAATCATGTGACAACTTTCCAAACTGCAACACCAACCACATGCTGACACTTATAACAAGAGACCAGGAAGTAAACAGGAGGCTGAACCTATTTCCTCAGAGGAGTTCAAATTATTTAAACACAGCTCTCAGTCTGCTACCTGGTTACACCTAAGACATATATATCTACCTAGAGAAACAGATCAGACCTAGTTTTATTTAGCTGCAAGCTCACCTACGTTATAAAAATTAAGAATTTTTCATCAATTTGCTTTTCAAAAATGTAAGATTCTCAATGTATTTTCTCCCACTATTGTTATTTGACTTCTCCATTTCTCTCATTTCCACCATTTCAATTTTAACACATACTTTTACAAAGGGACAGCACAAACCTGAATTTTCGAATCCAAATGGCAGAAAAAGACAGAAGTTAAGGATGTCACATTGATAGCCAGGTGCTAGCCTCTCAATCTGTTCTAAACTCAATTTACAGCCTGTGTAAACAGCCACAAGAGCTAACAGAGGAAAAGGTTCACAGCTTCTATGAATCACCTTTCTGTTTTATACTTTCGAGGTTCCAGTTCTATATTCTTAATTGTCAAGACACTTCCACTAGAGACAATATCTGTCATGTCTTCTGTCAGCAAAGAATAAAAATAAAGCTACATTTCATCACAGCCTGAGTGACAATGGAAGGTTTTGGACTCTCAAAGCATTTATGTCAACCATACGTGAAAGGCAAATACTGACAGAAATTCCTAACAAGATTGTATTCATCAGCTACAGTTTCATGTCTTTACTGTCTAACTGCAGCACCCTCTCCCACACCACTTCCATCTTTCAGTTCTTGAAAAGCCTGTTAAAAACCTCGACAAAGATTTCTAATCATTGGTAGCAAAAAAGATTTTTTCTTTACCTTGCTGTTTGTTGGCACTATTGTATCATCTGTTATTTTCAACTAATCCATTTAGTTTTGCTTAATATATCTGCAATTCACAGCACACGCTGGGGATGATTTTAAGTAATAACATGGACCAGTCAGTTAAGTGATCACGTTACTGAGCTTACACACCTGCCATTCTTTCCACTGAAGCACTAATCTGAGTTTCCTCCTTCTGCCCAGACGCTTTCGTTCATTAACTCATACAATTCTCTTTCAGATAAATTTGAAATTTATCTGAAAGATAAACTGCCAAATTTGGCTGAAGTAATTAATGAGTTCAAAAATTATCACATGCAATGTCAAAATACTGCGTACTAGTTCAGTGACACACTGTAACAAAACAACAACAACAAAGAAAAAATATTTAAGGTCATATTTTGAGGCAGGATGATGCACAAGCAAGAAGCATAGAACTGCACCATTATAAAAAGCCAGACAGTTTGGATATGTACTCAACAACTTCAGATTAGGAATCACAAGTCAAAATTATTTACCTGAAAAATTCAAAGGTAGCACTAAACAGTAGAAAACTGAGCAAATATCAAGCTCCCTTTTAAGGGTTATCTCTCTCTGGCTATACAAAGCAAGAAATTAGTAATTTGAAATTCACCTGATTCATTTGACTTTAAGGCCTCTTTGATTTGCTGTTTAATTTTCATTGCTTCTTCCGCAGTCAAGTCCCCTTTTTTCAGTGTTACCACTTGAGGCTGCTCATCTTCGTTGTCACTGCCATTCTCACTATCATCATCTGCAAGTGGAAGCTGCTCTCTCTAGCCAGGAGAGAAATAAAAGCGATCCTGATCACCGTATGAAATCACAACAGCTAAGGGTGGGCTAGTACTCTTTGGTTTCACTTTTCCAGTAAGGTTAGTGAGGAGACCTGGCACAACTGTCGGTGTCAGGCCCTCCCAACCCACTTTGTCCAAATGGTACTCCAGTTCTGTCACTGAGACATAGAATCCCCTAGAAAAAAACAAACAGTATGGGCTCTTTCAATTAAAGGCTGAAACAGCAGGAACCTGGAAGGTAAGAAACTCATTCCTTTTGCTATCTTTACTGTACAATCACTGCCTGCCATGAAACACTAAGAAAATCTTAAATGTATGGCTCCAAATTTGAATATTCTACACTGTACTCAAAACAGTACAAAGGCAAAGGCAGTCCATGGTGGCTTTGTTATTAAAGCTGCCTAACCAAATAATCGTGAGCATTACTGACAACAGGAAGACCACGTCTCTGTTTCCATTCTCTCAAATTTGTGCTGTGAGACAGAAGAATCATTTGGAATAAAATTTTAAATGAACAAATTTGCTGGCATGGAAACCTCAGTGCAACAACACAAAGTTTGGCTATATTAAATATCAACTTCAGATTTCAGAATTGCAAACTTCATCTTGTAAAGAGAAGTGTAGCTAGCATGATCATCATCTACTGACGTTACCAAGAGACAAATGACATGGCATCTTCCTTGGGAAGTGAAACAGTTTGTACTAAATTTACCAAAGGCATACTTTAATCTCAAGTGCCAGCTCGTCACAAATAAGAATGGGCTTTTCTTAAGGCATCCAGTAAAACCTTCCAGTTAGCAGGAAACACGGAAAAGAGCCCTGGAACAGGCTGCCCAGGGAGGGTGTGGAGTCTCCTTCTCTGGAGACATTCAAGACCCGCCTGGACGCCTTCCTGTGTAAAATTGTTTAGGTTCCTGCTCCAGCAGGGGGATTGGACTGGATGATCTTTCGAGGTCCCTTCCAATCCCTGACATTCTGTGATTCTGTGAAAAAAAGAATGCCTTGCTGCTCCCCTGCTGCCCCCACAGAGCACTCGGGCACAGAGAGGCCAGCACTGGCTGCTCTGCAGCAACAGACACCATGGTCACCACGGCGGCAACGACTGGAAACAGCCGTGGGGAGGGGCACTGGATTTGTTGTTGTTTTCAATCTCCAACACAGAAGCAAAAACTCGTTACAAAGCCAGTTTCAGTCAATTTTAAGCGGGCAAAGCCAATTTCAAGGGGCAAAGCCTGCAAGCGCTGCCCCCCCCC